AGGTTTCTTATCTTAAAACTTTTTTATATAACGTACAATCAGAAATGAAACACTTACTCTTATTCAGCATTCTATTCTTTATAAACAATTGAGGAGAGACCTTCTATACAGTATGGTCTTATAATCATTTTGCCTCATTCTGAAATAGCCTAATGTGGTATATATACGGCAATGAATAGTTTTACTGATTTTTTAGATCAATTGGATCAGCAATATTTACTCATTACTTGCGACGAAAACATCTATAAATTTACTCGTCTTATAAAGTTTACAAAGAGAAGAAATGACAAATAGTTTTATAATGTTGAAAGCGTTTTACACTGAAAAAGTGATAAGATGTTGCGCGGGAAAGTACTTAGAAGGCTGTGGAATTGAAGATATCTTGATAGAAAATAAAATTACTGACTTTATTATAGGAGAAGCGCTTCAACGTGTTTGCAGCTACAAGCATATTTTACAGAAGGTTAAGAAAAGTAAGACAACCAAGTGCAACTAATAGATAATTTGAAAAAATGTTGTATCTAAAGGTAGTGAAGATCGGAAGCAAAAAAACCCGTTAAATAGTAGTCTAAAGATTTAAGCATAGATTATCAAAATTGTATTATAAAAAAATTTAAGAGTTTTCTCTTTTTAGATATTTCAACAAAGATTTGATAATAATTGACATTAGCAATGATGTGCATAAATTTCCAAGAGGTGGTAATTGGTCACTACATGTAGGTGGAATGATACAAAACAGCAATTTTTATACCACGTTCTATATATAGCCTACATGCAATAACCAATTACCAGCTCTTTGAGACTTATGGGTGTCATTGCCAATATCAATTATTATCAAACCATTGTTAAAATATCTCAAAAGAGAAGACTTTTTAGATTTTCTTTATAAATTAAATTTTAATAATCAATGTATAAATCTTCAAACTGCTCTTTAAATACTGCTGTGGTTTTTTTTCTTCCTCATAACTGCCTTCAGGACATAAAACAGCAATTTTTATGCCTTGCTCTGAATAGAATTTATTATGTGAGATGTGGTACGATTTATTTAGAAGATTGTTTAAACCTTCAAAAGATTATGTCAGAGATTTATGGCCGGTTTACGAAAGGTAGATTCACAGTAAAATACAATAAGTCACCTTTTTTATTCATGGGAACTGATCAGGCATTGAAGCAGTTGATCAATAAATCTGCAAAATATACTTCCGGTATTATTGGCTTCATTAATCGAAAAAATGTAGTTGCTATTTCAGATATAGTGTCACATGAGATGGTAGGCATCAATACTTTATACCGAGAACTTGTTGGTGTACTCAGCGATAACGAAGAGTTGCATATTCATCATGAGCATATTATCTCAAGCTCTTAATTTATGGAGCAAGTTGTATGTGACTCGTCCAATTTATTCTGAAAAAATATTAATCCTTTTCAAGTAGATCAATAGTCCTTGCGAAATATTGTAATAAATCAATTGGTTGCTGAAAAAATATCTGCAAAGATTTTGAATGTTTTTGAATCATGAAATCAGTTGTAAAAAATTCACGTACAAAAGAATTATAACAAAGAAAAAATTCTCTTTTCTACTAAAAAACATTGTAATAATTTGCCTAGCTTCAAAACAGTTCATAAAAAAGTGAAAAAAGAAACAGCTGTACAGAAAAAAATTTACTTTATCAATGTCAACGTATTATAGACGGACATAGCTAACAAACGTGATTTTGATATAAAGCGGCTTGTTGCTTCGATATCAGCCCAGAAAGTTTGGTTCAACAAAAATGACTTTTTAAATAAAGAAACACGTAAATCGAATCTCATTAAAGTTCTGGAAAAAAAATTGCAATCTTCATTCTAAAACTAATTATCGCATGTCAAACTCATTTATAAGTCTTGTTGTCAATGTAATGCTATATTACTGAAACGTGTAATGGATGGATTGTAAGAATTTAGTAGATGTTGCTAATGCATTTTGTCAATTCAGTAGTAGCTATTATACGAATTCAAGTGTAAAGACTAATACATCAGCTCGTACAGATAGCAAAACAACAAGATAAATTTCGTATTCGACGATTACTTTGAACGTTTACCCGAATGATCGGAAATAGATCGATCAGAAGGAAATTTAATAGATGTATTTATCATTGAACTTAAAACTGTTTTACCTAGCGATAAAGGCTTGTTTTGGTGACGTGACCAGAGAAAAATAAGGAAGCATTACAATGTATTTTTACGTATAAAGTACATTTTATTAAACTGTAGTTAGCTTTGGTTTTAAACTGGAATCGTCATTAGTACTATTAATCATTAGAGAGCATTTCAACCTAGTTTTATTTGAAAAAAGATTCGTCTATGCCTATGCTACAAAGGTGGTTCGATAGTAAAAGAGCGGGCATCAAAATTGTAAACGCATTAATGACTGCAGTAATGAGGGAATAACAAAAATTAATGCTGTCATCGGAAACATGTTTTTAGATAATACTTTAATTTTAGAATATTTTTGTTTCGCAAAGTTTGGAGGTATGAGTTTATTGTCAGTATTACCATGCTATAGATATATTTCATCAATTAATCAGTAAGCTTATACATATAACGGCAAGCATCCTTCTAGATATTTAAATAATCTTAAAAACGTGTGTAGTTTTGATAAGAAATAAAAATTTTGTTACTTTAAGTTTCTCGTTTATTTCCTTCTTTACGTTATGAATAAATATAAAATCAATTAGTTATTTGATGAAAATTATTTAGGAGAATAAAATTTGTTATTGAGTCATTCATAAAAAGACAAATGAAAGCTTAGATAAGAGAATTACAATCGTATGATTATAGCTGCACATCATCTTACTGGGGCTGACTATAGCAATAAAATAGATTCTAAATTAAGTTGTTAAATTGTCTTGGTACGAGCCAAAAAAATATTTGCTTGGTATCGGTTTAAACTTGGGCTGTAGAATTAATGTGATATATAGCATTTCGGTGATTACATTCGCCATATGTTATGTTAATTCATTTGAATAGCGAGTTGCACTTGACACGCAATGAACAGCCGACAGGGAATATACATACGGACGTTACGTGCGTGACACTGCCACGTACGTGTGCTTATAGAAATTCAGAACATTTCATATGTATCGTTAAGATTTCACTTCCTCTGCGAAAACGTGCGTGGAAATCCCCCAAGGCGGACAGCTGGTCCTTGCCGACCATTTCTATTGTCTGATCGTTCGTTCTTATTTGCAAGCTGCAGCATTATTTTTTTATATTGTATCGGCGCACCTGACTCCTATCATATTTCTTCTACTCCGGCAAGGTTTCACTGGTCAGGAGTAAGAAATGTACTCATCTTTCCTTTCTATCTATTTAAACTAACAATCGTAGACGTTCATAGTTGGCTAATTTTCTTACCCATTTCAAATAACAGATTTCGACTTTATTGATCGTTTCAGCAAACTTACCGATCGAGTCTAGATCTCTCAATCGGTAAAATCTTGAACAGCCGATCTCAAAAGAAATCTACATCAATGATATCTGGGCTATATTCATTATCCAGTATATAATAAAATGCATTTTATAATCTGATGAGTAAACAATTTACAACTTATTAAATAAAAAGATTTTATTTAAAAATAAAAATCAAACTTTTACGCCGATCAAACAATAGTTTATATTTGTCTAACAAAGAGAATTAAAAAAAAAATAAAAAAAAAGCCTCTCTCAAGATTAAAATAATTTTAGAAATATTATATTTACCTATCGAAATTCACGCGTTATAAATAGGTAATTAAAATGAAATATATGTTTGATTTATGGCCATAGTCAAAAAATAAATTACATATGCGATGAAAATTTTCTGAAAAAATTTTCAATCGGCTGAATGGAGTGATTTCAACTTTCTATTGATAAAATTTAAATTTCCATAGATGCAATATGTAGAGAGTTATTTTGGTTCAAAGAGATATTTGATTTTTCAATTTGCTTGTCTTTTAGAGTAAGATCAATTTAATTCGTAACTATTTACATGTACTTAGAAACAAATCAATCTATATATAAGTTCGTTTGATTTTGTCAATCTTCAAAACGATGATACAAAACGTTATAGAAACGTTGGTCAATTTTTTAAATTATAAATTGGTTCGTAAAGATCCCAGGGGAAAAAAATATTTTTTTTGAAAACCCAAGATACTCCTTCGTACATTGAAATAAGATTATCAACCGCTTTTATAGCATTATAAAGCAGACGTAAATTAAATCTCAAGATACTGATAGCAAAAGCACAAGGTATATGATGAAAATACTGGGCGTTATTTGAGTTATTTTGACGTTAGAAGGTCAGAAAAATTTATTAAAAACTTGCAGAAAAAATTGCGTTAAAAAGTTTAATCAACGAAATCAATTCATATTTTGAAAAATGTTGCACGAAATTTTTCACAAATTGCATTAAACTTGTTTTATTAGTAATATATCTTATAGATTAGAAATCATTATAGCCAATAGTTTTCGCAAAAAGGTTTTTAATGTATAAAAGCTAAGAATGTCAACATTCAAAACGTAATTCTTGATTACAGTATTTATATTGAAAATTGTCACTTATTAAAGATGTAACAGTTCGATAGTAGTGATAAAAATAGTAATTTAAATGAAAAAAAGGAAAATTCAAATATTTATTGCCTTTTCAAGATTGACTAGTAAAAACATACCATAACATTCGATAAAAAAATTTCTCAGTTCTTGTGGTATCTATATATAACAATAATAGATTTATATGGCAGGAGCTATTGAAATAAAATCAATCAATTAATTTTATAAAAAGCATAAAGTAAATAAAAGAAATTCTTTAGATTAAAAAAATGATAGAACTGGATTATCAGCATGTTTATACGAGTGGAAATCTTCTATTTTTGTATAAAAATAATATTGCTGTTCCTTGTCAGTTGTCACATTATAGTATATAAATATTCAGGTAAATAAAATGAGCAGTTATTTAGATAAATTTATATATTTAATTTCTCATAATTTTTGTCGATTTGAATAACTTAATTATATAATGTTTTTTCGTAGCTAGCTGACAATGCGCTATAACTTTACGAAACTCGCTCACACAAAGTATTTTACAAGTTAGCAGAAACAAGTCATAAGAAACAACTAAAACTAATAATACATCTGAACTTTTATCACGTACGAAAAGACGGAATCCGAAGATAAAGTTAGGCGTGGTGATTGTTTATAAGTTAGCGATCAGGTGTCGTAATCCGCGAATAGATTGATAAAAATATAGCGGGAACCAAGATGTTTTGTTGTTGAGATAGAAATTGAGTAGCAATATAAAAATACATAACGTCAAACTCGCAGTAATATTAACAGAAAATGAACCGAAATAACAGCGCGCACGTGTAAATGACACGGCGTTTTTGTGGAATTTGTTTGGTTTGCTCGAGGTTGAATGCCGACTCGAGCGCTTAATATAATGAAACCGAACAGCAACGCAATGTTATTGCGACGTAGAAATTTATCGGACAGCACGCTTCCGACTCTGACACACTCGCAAGTCGTTCGCAACAAGAGAAAAAACAAACAAACAAACACGAATGATAAGCGATATAAGTTATTTACAATGAACCGTGTGATATTTACAAGAGGTCGAGTTATAAATAAAAAAGAAATAAGCTAAAATAAGGCTAAGAACGATGCTCGAGCTTGCGCGCAAAGAGCGGCCGGAGAAGAGAAAAGTTTGCTACGAGTGGATATTATAAATGAACGCAGGAGGCTCGCGTGTGGAAAAGAAACGGGCTCGTGGCGGCGCACTTCGATGAGCACGAGATTGAATTGAAAATGAGCTGCAGGCCGACGGTCTTTCTCCGCTCTCCGGCGAGCGAGCGCGCAACTTTCACGCTGCACACGCATCAAGTATGCCGCGGTCGTGCAACGGTCCGCGCTCCTTCATCTCGCTTCAGCCGGCTCGGCTCTCGCTCTTTCTCAGCTCTGCGCCACGGCGCACTGATACGGCCCATTGTCTCCTGTCCCGTGCACGCGAAAGTTTTTTCCTCTCCCCCTTTTGCGCGGCGGCACGTCTCGTCGTTCTTTCATTCTAACGCCGCAGAAACTGCCATGCGTGCGGCTCGATAGTCGACAGCCGGCGGCGTTCGTCTAATTAAGCTCGATTCAGTCTTTGCTCGGAGTGAAGGATCCCTCGACTAGGACTCAGTAAAGTCTTTCGCGAATCAGCAGATTGTTCGGTCGAGACAGGCGAGGAGCGAAGAACCAGGGCGCCGGCGCCGGCGCCGGCAGTCGACGGAACAGCACTGCTCTCGGGTTCTTTCGGGGTGGCAGCATTTCCGTGGCAAGCTCGTGCTGCTCGGCCTTCTTCGAGAGCTCCAGCTCGTGGATCAGCGGCAGCGGAGTGTCGAGGCGGATCTCGTCCGCGTCCTCGTCCTTGGGCAGCGCTTGCTTGGCGTCGCCGCCGACCGGCCGACCGTCCGGGTACACGCGGATCACCATCGGGCCCGTCAGATACGGCCCGCCGTGGTCCGCCGGCTGCACGTAGTCGTGGCTCGAGGAGCTCTCCTGGGTCAGCTCGTTGTCACCCACGGCTGTAACCACAGAAAGATCCATCGCTATTACACGCGTCCGGTCCATTGGTCTTTGAGCGACGCCCCGGCGACACGATTGCGTCCGATAGCGAGCGAGCGCGCGATAAATTCACTGCCGCGCGGCAAGTTGTCGAACAATGCTCGTCGGCCCGACAATGGCCGTCCATCAGAGTCCTTCGGCGATGTCGATCCGGCCGCACCTTCTTTTTTCTCGCTTCCGACGCGACGCCGCTGTGCGGCCGCTGTCGGCGCTCGGTCGGCTCGCGGAGCACGCGCGAGCGGCTATTGTGTCGCAGGCGCTGCCGCGGCGAACTGGGCCAAGGTGCGGATCGTCGGTCGCTTTCCACGGAACGCGAATTTTGCGACGGGCCGGCGGCACCCGTCAACGAAAACGCTCGTCCGGGACTGGCGCGGGCGACGAGAGGCCAATGCACGCGCGCGCGAAGCCCGGCCCCAGAAGGACAAAGCCGAGGCTTGCTTGCGGTTCGCATCGGTGCGCAAAAAATGTGTCGCCGCGTGCCGTCGCGGAGAAAATGTGAAAGCGGCGCGCTCCATTCTCAGCCGGCAGAAGAGGCGAGAAAGAAAACAGACGACTGACCCCGATCGGAGGATCGCGGATCGGGCTGCTGCCCCCCTGCCTCGACGCGCACACACGCGCACACTCGACCCCGTCGAGCGCGATCGCTGCTGCATTGCACTTTTGCTTTTTTGCCGTCGCAGCGTCGCCCTCGTCCCGCATTGGCACGCGCGCCCGAGATCGTCGCGCCCGGAACGGACCCGCGGCTCTTTTCTCCCTGATTCTTCTTTGCCTGCGTGCGGCTTACGGCTGTCGCGCGATCCCGTTGATCAAGGTCGCTGCAGGTGCGAGCCGCTCGTTTCCTCGTGTGACAAGTGGCCACGGTCGGACTACGAGTACCGTTTGATCGCCGGAGATTCGGAGGACGAGTCCAGACTGTAATTCAGCCTGCTGGATATTTTCGAAATGTACCGCTTAAAATTAGAAAGCTCGGACGGTTCGCGGACAAGCGTCGGTGAAACACCGGGGCGAGCAGCGGACGAGTTTTTCCTCTTTTCTCCGGGCGAAGGAGCAGCTGCGCGCGACGACGCTGCGCGCGAGATCGGGTCCAATCGATAGCTCCACAGCCGGGACTTTTCGCGCTGCAGCCGCGGACGGCGATGATAATGACGAGGATGACGCGGCGAATCGGCGCCGGCTGAGCGAGATTGGTCGAATATTTACCTAGGGGATCAGCTTGCTCGGTGTGGTGGAAAGAGTGCTGACCAAGGCTCGAGGCCGTCTGCCCGTTATTGCCGAGCACGGCTCGCCAGACTGCAATGAGAACAGCGGAAAATCCGCGTTTAATTAGGAAATTTAGCGCGCGCGAGCGCGCGCTTCATCCGTACGCGCGCCTCGCTACCCAAGGATTTCTCTTCGGCCGCGGTGCCTTACCAAGCATTTCGGACGACTCGCGCGCCTAATTGCGCGCTTTTCCCCGCGGGCCTCGTTTCAAATTTCTTCGCCGAACGACTGCGTCGCTGCGACGCTGCAGTCGCGCACCGAAAGCGAAATTTATCGATGCCAAGCGCGTCTCATGCCCCCTCGCGAGCCTCGCCCGTGCAAACTCGACGAGAGTAGAATGCCGACGTATGCACTGCGATCTCTTCTCGCAATGGAAGTTTCATTAGCAAGCAGGCGAGAGAGAGAGAGAGAGAGAGAAAAACACGCACGAATACAATAATCAATGGTAACGCGTACGTGATTCCGTAGGAGAAATCGTAGAACCCGAGGCACGCGCGCCAAGAGAAATCCTGATGGGCGGCTCGCGCTTGCGCCAAGTTCAGTAGGCTTGGTGCGCGCACTTACTTATATCTTTGGCGCCACGCTGGTACGGGTCCATCTCGTCGAGCTTGTCGTCGCTGAGGTCCACCAGATTTTTCAAGCCGGCGACCAGCAGATTCTTGTTACAGTCGGGCATCGTCGAGTCAGCGCAGTATTGCGCTACTTCTTGGCCGAAGACCCGGTAGAGGTGACTCATCTGGAATCAAAGAAAGAGCGGCGCTCGTTTAAAGTCCGCCTAGTCGACCTATTGTGAATTTCAAATGGGCTATTCTTAGCGGCCGCTGCCGCCGCCATTGATAGTCCGGGGACTCCAATTGTCGCGTGCCAAGATAAACCACTTTTATTGCAAGCAACGCTTTCATTGCCTTTTCAAATGCGCCGACCTCTTGAACGCACTGTTTACGAGCTTCTCCGGGGCTTTGCAGCGCAGGCTCGCGACAACGTCGAATTTGGCAAGAGCGGCGAGGCTCACTGGGAGATAGCGGAGTGCATCGCCTCGGCGAGGTGACATTTAAAAATGCGCGGCGGCTGTCGGCGGTGGGTGGCGGCGGGAGGCTGCGGCCGTGCGCGCCGGAACATTCCGAGCGCGTTTGCTCAAACTTGTCGGCTGCCGCGGCAGCGATTCGTTAAGCGAGCAACGGCAACGGCGTTATGCAGCTCGCGTATCTCTCCTCCCACCCGCGCTCGCGAGCAAAGGCAACGTTTGGCGCTCATCGCGGCGATTCGGCGCCGATAGCCGAGCCAATAGCCGACCGATGGACGCGCTCTCGCCCTCGACGGCGCGCCTTTTGTTCTCGCCCGAGCCGCACGCGAGTGTGACGTTCGAAAGAATAACAAGCGAGCCTGCAGCAGCGGATGCGCGGCCAGTCTCTCGCGGTACACATATAATAGACACGGCCCGAATACACGCTCAGAGCGGCAGCGCGGTCGATCGATCGGCGGCGCAGGAGGGTGTAGGCGGCGTGCGCCCCGAGCGTTGGGCGGATGTGTATCGAGAGAAAGCAACTTAATTATCGCGCGCAAACAGCCATGGAAATGCCCGCGAGCTGCTCAAACAGCGGATGAAAGCTAATTAGCGCGCAAATCCACGGAGCGCGTGCTGGCGGGTGCTTCGGGAATGCCAAGGCCGTTCCGAGAGGTTGTCGTTTAAGGTTGTCGCGTTCGAGGCGGACCGACTCGACGGCGCAGGCAATCGCAGGGAAGAGGAGGCGTCGCGGCTCTCACCTTCTCCTCTCTGGTGAGGAACTCCCACATGGGAATGGCCGAGCCGCGAGCACGCGCGACGCAGCACACAAGCAGGAGTGCAAGCGGCAAGCTCGCTGCGCGCCCGCTCGTCCTCATTCTGCTCTCCTCGGGGCTTGACTCTGCTTGCTCTCGAACACTGATCACCCACCACTGCAGACGTGTGTGCGTGTGCGCCGATCGTCCGATTGCGGAAGTGTCGCGCAGACGGCTACGTCGTGTTCACAATCACACTAGTCGATCAGCAGTACTGCAAGCTGCACTGTATAAAAACGCGCCTGACGATAGCAAGGGGTCTGTGCTTCGATCGGATGATGCTGCGCAAAGAACTGCGGAAAGAGCGTTCGGTATCGGTTCTCCAAAGTCAACTGAGCACCGGTATCGCGCTCCGTTCGTTTTATGCCCGTGCCGATCCCCACCATGCCGCAGCCGCTACACAGCTCGCGGATCGGGATGCTCCTCTCTCTCTCTCGGTCTTTCGAGCATCGTGTCGCTCTCAGGCCTGTTTACGCGCCTATACTCGCCTCGAGCCAGCCGAGCGCCGAGCGTCATAGCCATTCCAGCTGGCGCCAGCTTCGGCGGAATAGTGGCCCGCCGTCGCTCTCCGATCATTTACATCTGGGTTTTCCCGTGGCCTCTCTTCCTTGACTAATCTAACAGCCAACCGCGCGGACAGCTACATCGATATCACTATTTATAGCTGTCAAGGTCATATCTCGCTGCTGCGGTGCAAAAATCTTTCTGCAGCTTTTTCGCGCTCGAGCGTCCTTTAATTCTACCCTTCGTCGTATTGATCCGCAAGCCAATTCTCATCGTGCTCGCAAACACCATTCGCGTGACATCATTAATTGACCAACTCGAACTCCAAAGAATCTTTCTCGATCCTTTCAATTGTAATGCATCAAATGCAAAATTCATGCTATAATCTCCATTAAAGCCGAATTACTTTTCTTTCACATCAACTGATTTTTATCCATTTTTCTACCCTTTATTTGAATATTTTACTCATTACAGAAATAATCTTTTTCTTCTTTTCTTCTTTTTCAATTTTTTAATTTTGCATTGACATATGACTTTTATTTTTTTTTTTTATATTGTTTTCCTCGATTGAATCAACTACAGAAATAAATATAAAACCAATATTTGCTCTCATTTTTAAATAATCATGGGATCTGCCAGAAATGATATTATTATCGCACTTACGAACCGGACGTGGCCATTTTCACATTTCATTTTTCAATGCAGTTGTTTTAATGAATATTTTTCAATACTTACTTAAAAAAAATAACTAACAATATGCAAAATCCATTATATAACGCCATTTCAATAAGGCAACTAAACATATCAAGTAGCCATTTTAAGATGAACTCAATTTTCACAGAAGAAATGTCTCTAAATCTATTATTTGTTGGTGATAGTCTGAATCTAAGTTTAGGCTTGGTTTATTTTGTAAAAATACTAATTCTACACGAATTTTTAAATTCTGTTTATTTGATATAATACTTTTCCATTAAATACAAGAAAAAATTTAAAAAATAATTTTCTTAAAAAACGAAATATTATCTAACACAATAATCCTTACAAAAAAATTAACAAATGATTAATTAGCACAAAGTATTTTACATATTCGTACACTTAGTCATTTTTTGAATAATGGGTAGAATTTTAATCTCATAATCCTTTTAAATATTGATTATTTGTTTTAGAAATATTTCATGTAAAATACTTTGGATCAATTATTTTCTCCAATCGCATTTTATGTAGAACATTTACGTGTTCAATATATAATATATATTGAAAATATATAATATATATAATACGTTTTCTTAATAAATGCAATTTTCTGTTTGGTGTTCAATTAATAAAGCATTATGTTAAATAAACGAAATTTAAAAGTTTCTGGAGTATCTTTACGAAACGACTTTGGGCTAATTTTATTGTACCATCGAATTGAAATCGTTTTATAACTAGTTAAGAATACGTAAATTATAACATATTTCATAATTCAATCGATATCGAAAACCAGTTGGATTGCGATTAAAAAATTATAACATAATTAATCATCAATTATTTAAGTGAATTCCACTTTCGATTAAAAATTAATCAAAATTAACCAAGTTTGTGAAAAATTGTTACTAACGGTTTATTAAGTTTAAGAAAAAACCACCGAAATAATTATAAAAAGTGTTAAAAACATTACAGATAAAACAGTACGCGGGTAACTCAAAAATAATATTGCAAAAAATTGGACAATATGTTGCTCAAAATATTGTAATCAAATATTTTCTATGTATCACAAAAAAGAATGAAATAAATAGACTAATAAATAACTGAACGCATTCCTAAAGCAACAGCCAATTCTATGAGGTTCAAAACAAATTATAAAAACAAACAAATTTTTCCGTTGAGAATCGCGAGAGCTTAAAAAGTTATAAACTGGTTGGAATGCGAATTCGATAAATTAATTGTATTAACAAATGTGGATTCCAAATAAGAAGTGTTTTTTGAAGCTGAAAAATAGCACATCTGGTTCGCGAACTTGCACCGATAAGAAAATTTAGTAAACGTTACGATGAAATTCAGTTGTCAAAGAACAAGATGAAAATAATACTTTTATTGTTATTTAAAACGTTAGTGTTGGCACGAGAGTAGCCTCAAGGTATGTTTTTAATACGATGTATAGAGAGAAAGAGCGCGAACGACTTTATAGGTAAGCTTTCGGTAAACAACGTCGCGACAAGAGTCTTCGGCGCCGTATGCTATAACGAAAAATATCGTATCCCAAGGATGGCCGTGACGCAGGTCCGAGTTCAGAGGCTAAGCTTCATAGGATCAGCAGAATTGATATAGAAAGTGCTCAGACTCTCCTTCCCCGTTCGAAACTGCCATGTTTTGCAATTTATTTTCCTCTTTCAAACGTCCTTTGGAAGGACGATCGAATTGTCGTTTTGTTCATCCACGCCTGCATAAATTGACGCGTGTGTAGGAACATCGCAACGTTATTATAAGGCAGATTGACAGAATCACTAAAACGTGATGTTCCCATTGGCGATTCGCGTTCACAACAAGTTAATGTTCAACATGAACCGAATAATTAATTGGCTCATAAAAATATAGTAAATGGTGCGTCACTGCATCACAGCTCTTTTCTCTCTCTCTCTCTCTCTCTCTCTCTCTCTCTCTCTCTCTCTCTCTCTCTCTCTCTTTATTCGGTCAACATTGACTGTACTATGTGACTTGCTTCACTCTTCGAACAAACGCTGAAGCGACTAATTATTTAAGAGCAAGAAACACCTAGAAGTCTAATTTTGTATTGAGTGAACGGAAATAAGAGCAAAAAGCTCGCCACAAGTAAGTAAATCTGTTATGAATTTCATAATACATGTTTATAAAAAATGTATGATTTGCAATAACAAATATTTATAAGTAATATTAATCGATAATAAATCCGATGAGATTGAGTGAATAAAAAACAAGTAAAGCATTTATAAGCCATTAATAAAAGAATAACGCCCATAGTAACTCAACGATTTACCCTTAAAATAACTTCAATGCACCTTATTCTTAGGAGATATAGATTTATTGAATATTTTTGTCATAAAGCTTAGCTTCGAATAAGCATTATTAATAATATGACACAGTAGTTGCCTTAAAAATTTGAATTTTGAAATTAAAATCTTGAAAATGTCGCGGATGAAGATGAAAGATGACAGTTATGTTAATTGAGGAAATTGAAAATTTTGAAAGTTAGTTTGTGAAAAGCACTGCTTTAAATGAGCCGAAACTGTTTTCGAGAGTTTTTGTAAAGAAATACATCTATTTATATAGAGATATTTTATAAAATGATTTGAATCGCGTAGACAAATATATAAAAAAATGACTTTGTCAGGAACAGCTGACGATTCGATTTATTTAGAAAAAGAAAAGGGAGAAACAAACTTAACATCCTGCCTATTACTTATAGGTAAACGCCTGAAAATTTGCTACGTTATTATAGATTTGAAATTATACATAGGACTGACGCTCTAAGGGTCATAAGGTACCACCTTTCTTCAAACTCTTTGGTTTTTCACTACGACGCTGTAGTTTACCGCGTAACTTTTTCTCTCTCTTTCACTCGATGACGACCAGAATGTCTCTGGTACAATCATACCGACATAGAATTACAAGCTATTATACCGAAAACTCTTGCCACAATACTGCTGAAATAAGGAGTAATAATAGGTGAGATCGGAACATGATAGGATTTCAATGAGAAGATTATTGAAAGCCTATTGATCTTAAATTGGTTGCTGTGAATACTACTTTTCTCCATGAGTCTTACCTAATAAGCTGTGTTAGGTAAGGCTCGTGGAGAAAAGCAGTATAAGGATTCGGAACTGAACAAGTTTATTCGGAAAGTTATATTCTAATTTGGCAGGATCATTGATGAAGAATGTGCGACTGTTTAAGAAATTAGCCTGAGGTGGCTATAGGCGCTGGCAATATATAGCCTGTCACGTGCGTATATCGGCGAAATCGAAACTCGGCGTAGAAACGTGCCTCCGCGGTCTCGAAACCAAACGGATTTGCGTCACGAGCCCATACCAAATTGAATATTTGGCTGTCGCAGACTGGAGAGGCGCCGAGGAATATATGAAAATGAGGAGACGAAGAGTCGCGTGGAGGAACCGGCTGCGAGAGGGATTACGTCGAACGGAACGCGGAATTCCATCGCCTCGGGCAGGCCAATGACTGGGCAAGTGTGTGTGTGTACAGGCGGACGCGCATTTCCCGTTTGGCCGGCCGCCGCAAAGCAAAGCAAAGCGCAAAGTCCTCTGCTATAGCCTCTGGTCGCACATGAGCGCTCGGCCGGTCGACGGCTTCCGCCGCGCGCCGCGGAACTGCAGCTCGACTCGCGTCTCCTCGGCGTGCTTCAGCGCCCGACGCTTTATCTCGTCTACTCCGCCTGCGCTCCGCTATCACCTACACGTATCTACCTATGTACCGACAAGCTCGCTCTCCACTTCTCTCCTCGAGTAGCCCACCCTATCCCGCCGCTCGTTGGCTCGCCCTTTAATTGGGTCGCGATGTTTTTCTAAAGACTTTAGCTTGGCTCCAGCTTACTTGACTCGTCGCCACTTCCGCCCCCCTCCCGCCCCCACCCCCCACCCCATCCCATACCGGCTAGTCCACTTCTGTTTACTCATTCGTTTTGGCTTTATTGGACCGCGCGCTCGCTTTCATTCAATTGCACTTCTTTTATTTTAGTGAATAAAGCATTTTGCTTCGTTCTCTTTTTCTCTTACTCGTCCACCTAACTCTTACCTTGTGCTTTCGACATCCTTTTGTTATTAATAATTTATTCAAT